CACGAAAGAAAGTACTGGCTCACAGAGCTCAGAAGGCCGGGCATGGCTGAACCCATGGGCCTCAAATGACACCACCTGGTTCTGCCTCTCTCCATCCTTGTCTCGGCTTTCCTCTGGGTTGGCTTTTTTCTCACGAAGTCTGTCTCTGTGCAGCGGTCCCTTCAGCTCCGGGCTTAAATTATACTTATATTTACAAATTCTATTTTGGGAAAATCTTCTCGAGGGAACAGAACTTAAGTGCATTGTTTTTTGAATGTAGAAGTGTTTAAATCATAAGCAATTAAGTTACGATTGTGAGATTATACAATGAAATTTCTGAAGACCTTGCTATTTTATGAAAATCTTATTGACAACTTATGGTATTGGTAATGCTGGCTTAAGGTAGCATGAAATTGCTTAAGGGAAGCTCTCCCTCAGAAGCTAATGTGTTTGAGAACTCCATGTGTCTCCCAATTCCCTGACATTCCTGCACACTAAATTAGTGCTTTATAATTTACATAGTGGTTTATTATTGCTTTCAAAATCAATAGGGGCCACCTTGGGTTAAGGAAATACATTGTCAACATATTAGAGTGAGCATATGATTTTATAAACTATCTTTTCTAGTATTTGAAAATACCTTAGAAAATTTTAAACTATTTCTCTCTATAATCTGTGACCATGAATTTATTTTATTTAGATTTTGTTGGACAATTACAGAAGACATACCCATTTGACAATTTTTATTAGTTGTCAACTTTATTGTAAATTTATCATTAGAATCAAGATATATTTGACTGGAATACAAAATTCTTCATTAGTGTCCAAAATTGCTTCTAAATCATCAGCATCACATCACGACACTGGCAGGAAACGCTGAACAGTCAATATGAAAGAGGCTTCTCTTTAATTGATCAAATAGTAATCATTTCTGTTTTGAAACTCATAATGGTAATGACTTTATTTTTACATGTGTGATTTTGGAGGGATTTTGAATTCCATGGAGATGCTCATTTATCTTTCTATCTATTTACTGTGTTTTCATAGTCAACCAGGGAGAGAACTATAGTAAAAGTAAAATCATTTGGAATTTTAATAACTGTTAAATACTTTTGTCAGTGCATTCCTTTACATTACTTAATATTTACCAATAAAAATATCTTCAAAGATATAAAGATTCTTCAGCAGTGTCTGAATCATGAAAAGAAATCATAGAATGCCTAACAATAAAATAACAACTGAATATTATTTTTATTATGTAAAACCTAGTTATCTACAAAATATACATACATGTACCTTCTTTGAATTATTTGATTAAACAGATGACTCTGCAGATAATAGGGTTCCCAACAGAATTCTTTGTCTCAAGCCTTTTGAGTAAAATGCTTAAGAATTCTTCCTCATCAGAAGACCTTTTTGGATAACAGTGGACATTAACTGACTAGTGCCCTATTCAGACTATTTCATTTAATCCTCACTCGTGACTTTATAAAGGAGGAAGGATGTTGAAACCCCAGTTTTACAGAGGAGGAAACTGAGGCATGGAGAGGTTAAGTGCCTAATGTTACATGGCTTGTAAATGGCCAAGTTGGTTTGCAATACAGTTCTGGTACCAGCAATAGGGACCATGGTTAATATAATGATTGATTTTTTGCATGTGACCAGATTACTTGACAACTAAGGCAAATAAAAATGAGGACATTCAGATTCACCTCTCATATTAAGGAGAGCCTCATGTGAGTCTCACACATGGTCACATGTGCAGGCACCACATGCATACATGCTAAGGCCTGCCTGAGGGCTTACCGCATTTTGGTTATTGCATGGCAGTTGTTTTCTTGATTTGGGTTAAAAAGACTTTAGCAAAGCTCCCATAAATAAATGACCAAGTAAATAAAAATCTCATATTTGTACTGTTACACTAATAAGCTTAATAACAATAATCTACGAACATCTGCCATCACAAAATAAAAACTTCATTACCATTTCAATGCAGTCACTACAAATCCTCAGGTTAGCCCGTACACCAGCTGTGTCCTGGTGCTGCCCAGCACAAAACAGCAATTCATTCCGAATTACTACTCCAGTTAGTGACTCTTGTTCTCTGGCTGCCATCCTGAGCACTCCTGCTGTTCAGGTCTATTGTTTCCCCTCACTGGAAAAGACTTGTATTTTCTGGGAGCACTTGAAGGATTGTCTGCATGAAAAACTAGGCTAATCTAACTTCTGACTTCCCACCATATGTCCTCCAACATTCGGGGAAACTTGGTCTTCCTCTCCCTCCATCTAGTGGCATGTAATACATGTTTCTACAGGGTGTATCGATTACTTCACCCAAAGAATGAAACTGAAGGAATTAACAAAGCTTAAGCTATTCTGTGGCTTTGAAAATGAACTAGTACAAGATTCAGATATTGAGCTTTAGACTCTTTGGAGGAACTGTGGAAGAGAGAAAAGTCCTTCTCCCTTGTTCTTGCCATGAGCCTTTCAGGGGTGTCTAACCTTTTGGCATCTCTGGGACACACTGGAAGAAGAAGAGTTGTCTTGGGCCACACATTGACTACCTTGTGACATGTAATCACAAGTATTCTCATAATATTTTAACTAAATTTAAGATTTTGTGTTGGGTCACATCCATAGCCATCCTGAACCCCATGCAGCCCATGGGCTGCAGATTGGACACCACTGTAAAATCATCAGATTCCATGTAAAATTACAGAGGACTTTCTTCTGAGAGTTATAGCTTTAGAACACCAGTTAAAAAACCAGACTGGTGGAAAATGAAGAATGGTCTTGGAGCCACATGTAACACATATAGTGTGTATAGAAATTTTATACTATTTGAGATCATACTTAATGGGCAGTTTATTTTTATACTGCTGCAAAATACTTATTTATTTCCTTTCATTGGAGTTTAAACTTTTTTTGCAATCCCAAATACATTTGAAGAGAGGGGATGAGAGTATATTTGATCTTAGCCCTACTGATGATACATACGATTTCATGAAATAGTGTCTTTTCCATTATCTCTTCCAGGACACAGGCAAACCAAGAAATTTGTTTCTTCTCAGATATGAAAATTAAAGTCTATTAATTGTTCAAAATAGGGGTAATTTAAATATTTCCTGTTGCTATAATTTATAATCAGTTGCTTGGAAAAAACAGAACTTTATTTCTTTTGTGTTGTCTTCTGTTTTGTTGTCATAACCTAGTGTCTTGTACAGATGCCCTCACATTACAGGGACTGGGGATCTGTTTGTAAAGCTTCTTCAAATCTTTATCTGGGAGTATTTTATGGAGCAGGTGGATATCCTGCTGAAGCCATGAGCTTGCTTCAGAGACCATCTTCCCCTTGGAATATAGCAGCTGGCTGAAAATGATGTTAACCCTAATAGCATGTACAACAGCTTTCTGAACTCTTTGATGATGTGCCTATTCTGACTCTATCAATAAAAGAGGATGGCCTTGCCTGCTAACATAGACTGGTATGCTGCTGAGATAAAATGTGCCAGCCACTCATGACACCACACATCCTTTTCCAAGCAGCCTGCTATACCAATGAAACACTGTTCTTACATGGCAAATTTAGAAAGGCAGAAAATAAGAGGGTAGAAGAGTCTGTCTTCGGGGTTCCATTTTTACCTTATAGATATAAATGTTTGGGGAAAATTGATAATAAACATGGTAATGTGCCCTTTTTCTAATATTGAGCTCATTAATCTTCTCAAGGGCTCTTTTCAAATCTTGACACGAAATTTACCATGAAGAAGTGTAGGTATTATGATATGAAAAGTGTAAATGGAATCCCTGAAAAGCTGATTCATTTAAAACTAAGGTTGAGCTAACCTGTAACTTATTACTTCTATGCAATCTGTTCTTTGGCAGTTGGCAAATGGTACTTGATGTGTTTTTCCAAAGAGAAAAAAGAAGTGGCATCTATTTATGGAGTTCAGTGGCAGATCCACACATTGTGGGTTGTTTTGGCAATTATTTTCTAAAAATAGATTTAAGACAAATGTAGTCATTTTCTGGCATGGTTAGATTCAACACAAAATGCCTACATGATTAACACCTGGCACTGGAATGCTTCTTTTTAGGAGAACCTGAGGAGTGAGTTGTAGGCATTTTGCAGACATCTCTGAGGGTCCTAGTAATCCTTAGATGATGGATTTCCATTATGAATATGAACTGTCAGAAACAAGATTCACTTAAAGGACTGAAAACATTTAGTCTCAAAGCACTAGCTTGAACCTGGCTTGTTTCACCATTCTGAGATGATGTATTACAACACACTATTTCAGATTTACTATTCTCACATTGATGACTTGTACAGGCTGGGTTCAAAATGCACCTCTCTTAGAAGGGACTAGGAAAGTTTACTGACTCAGAACCCCTGTGGTCAGGTGGCTGGCTGTGTGTGTGTCAGTGTCAGCATGCGATAGAAAAGGTCAGATTCTGGGAGGCAAGTTAATTTGGAAGTGTATTCACTCACACTATTTGTTGGCTCCCATTTGTTACAGGGCATGATATTCAGTAGCTTGTGTAGAGATGGGATAGATAACTGAGTAGCTGGATAACTTTTTTCTGGAAGAGTTAGAATACTGAATTAAAAACTTACAGCCTCCCCCTCACTGGTGTGGTTCAGTGGATTGAGTGCTGGCCTGTGAACCAAAGGGTCATTGGTTTAATTCCCAGTCAGGGCACATCCCTGGGTTTCAGGCCAGATCCCCAGTAGGGAGCTCGCAAGGAACTCCCACACACTAATGTTTTTCTCTCTCTTTTTCTCCCTCCCTTCCCCTCTCTCTATAAATAAATAAATAAATAAATAAATAAATAAATAAATAAAATCTTTAAAAAATATAAATAAAAACTGGCATCCTCTTAAAGGATAAAGAACCTTCAATCATGTTTCAACAGAATATATATATTATATATAATTAATATGTTTATTTTATTTATATTGCACTTCACTTTATTGTGCTTCACAGGTGTTTCATTTTTTTACCAATTGAAGGCAAAGCCATCCACCAGCTAGAAGATTATAATTCACTTTATTGCAATATTCATTTTATTGTGATGGTCTGGAAACAAACTTCTCCAAGGTATGCCTCTGTGTTTATGTACATGTACAATATTTTTGTTTAGAAAACATCGGTATGCTTGAAATATATTAAATATCACTATTTGTATGATATTCATCTAGGAATAGTACATAGTAAACTAATGCAATAAAATCTATATAATCAGGAATGTATGGTTTATTTATTTTTATTTTTAAAGCATATTTTATGGATTATGCTATTACAGCTGTCCCAATTTTTCCCTCCCCTTTATTCCTCTATGCTCTGTAATCCCCTTCCCACCAGGTTCTCCCCCTGCCCCTTAGTTCATGTCCATGGGTCATGCATATAAGTTCTTTGGCTTCTCCATTTTCGATACTATTGTTAATCTCCCCCTGTCTATTTTGTATCTATCATTGATGCTTCTTAGTCCCTGTACCTTTCCCCCTATTCTCCCCATATTCTACCCTGCTGATAATCTTCCTTGTGATCACCATTTCTGTGATTCTGTTCCTGTTCTAGTTTGCTCAGTTTATTTTTGTTTTTGTTTTTTTAGATTCAGTTGTTAGTTGTGAGCTTGTTGTCATTTTACTGTTCATAGTTTTGATCTTCTTCTTTTTCTTAGATAAGTCCCTTTAACATTTCATATAATAATGGTTTGGTGATGATGAACTCCTTTAACTTGACCTTATCTGGAAAGCGCTTTCTCTGCCCTTCCATTATAAATGATAGCTTTGCTGGATAGAGTAATTTGGGGTGTAGGTCCTTGGCTTTCATTACTTTGAATACTTCTTTCCAGCCCCTTCTTGCTTGCAAGGTCTCTTTTGAGAAATCCACTGACAGTCTGATGGGAACTCCTTTGTAGGTAACTGCCTCCTTTTCTCTTGCTGCTTTTAAGATTCTTTCCTTCATCTTGGGTAATGTCATTATGATGTGCTTTGGTGTGTTCCTCCTTGGGTCCAACTTCTTTGGGACTCTCTGAGCTTCCTGGACTTCCTGGAAGTCTATTTCCCTTGCCAGATTGGGGAAGTTCTCTTTTACTATTTGTTCAAATAAGTTTTTCACTTGTTGCTCTTCCTCTTCTCCTTCTCCCTCTTATCCTCTGTAATTCGGATGTTAGATGTTTAAAGATGTCCTGAAGGTTCCTAAGCCTCTCCTCAAATTTTTGAATTCTTGTTTCTTCATTCCGTTCTGATTGGATGTTTATTTCTTCTTTCTCATCCAAATCATTGATTTGAGCCCTGGTTTCCTTCTCTTCACTGTTGGTTCCCTGTATATTTTCTTTTATTTCCCTTTGCATAGCCTTCATTTTCCCCTCTATTTTGCTTTCATACTCAACCTTTTCTGTGAGCATCCTGATCACCAGTGTTTTGAACTCTGCATCTGATATGTTGCCTATCTCTTCATCCTTTAGTTCTAGTTTTTGAATTCTGATCTGTTCTTTCCTTTGGGCCATCTTTCTCCGTCTCAGCACACCTGTTATGTTGTAAGGGGTGGAGTCTTAAGTATTTGCTAGGGTGTAGCAAACCACATCATTGCATTGTGGCACTCTATGTGGGGGAATAGTTGGAGAAGGAACAATGATGCTTGCTTGGTTCTCATCTGGCTTGCAGTCACTTCCCCAGCTACCCACAAGCAAATTGGGTTCTTCTGGTGCTGGTCTGGGGTAAGTGTGTTTGTGTAGGTTATAAAACCATGTAGATATCTCTGACAAACTCTTTTCTGTGAAGCTGAGAGTTTCTCCCACTGCTGCAACCCCTACAGGTTTTTATAGCCAAAGGTTTTGAGGCTTTCTTTTCCTTGGCTGGAACCTTGAGTTGCATAGTCTCTCTTGCTCCCAGATTGTTACTCCTGGTTTATCCGCTCATGAATGTGGGACCGCCTACTTTGCCAGCTGCTGTCTAGCCGCACATCCTCTCTACCCTGGCTACCTGTCTCCACGCCTCCTACCAGTCTGAATGAATGTTTCTTCTTTAATTCCTTGGTTGTTGTACTTCTATACAGTTGAATTTTCTGGCAGTTCTGGTTATTTTTGCTTTTAAATTTGTTGTCCTTCTTTTGATTGTGAGAAAACAAAGTATATCCACCTCTGCCTCCATCTTGGCCAGAAGTCTAGAAAATTATAGGTTTAATTCAGAGCACAAGATACTTTTAGTCATAAAAATAAATGAGATAACATAACCCATTTTAAAGAAAATATTGATTTAAATAAGCAAATAATGTTGATGTTTTATACAAGATAGAACTAGATTCAAATTTCTTATTTTTGTGGTAACCTCTAAGAAATCTTTCTGTAGTTTGATAATTGTTTCATCTTGCGCTTTTCTTCCTTCACATGTTATCTTGACTTATACCCTTCATATTTGTAATAAAGACACTTTGAACGGTTTACATTCTATCATCTTGATCAATAGATATCTTTACTTTTTTCTCATGAGTATATAATGGCATATCATCCCGCCATAATTTTTTTATTTCTAATTTAACCTTTACTGTATTTTTTCCCTTACCATTTTGTCTTCTTACATGCTCCTCCCCCCAGCAACCACCACATTGTTGTCCATGTTCATGAGTCCTTTTTCCTAAATCCCTGCACCCCTAACTTCCCACCTCCCACTAGCTGTCATCCTATTTTTCATCTATGAGTTTCTCCCCATTTTCCTTATTAGTTCAGTTTGTTCATTAGATTTCACATATGAGTGAAATCATATGGTGTTTGTCTTTCTATGGCTGGCTTATTTCACTTAGCATAATGTTTTCTAGGTCTATTCATACTGTCACAAAGGGTAAAACTTCTTTTTTATGAATGAGTAGTATTCCATTGTGTTAATGCCCCATAGTTGTTTTATCTACTCATCTACTGATGAGTATTTGGGTTACTTCCATAACTTGGTGATAGTAAATAACACTGAAATGGACATAGGGGTGGTTATATTCTTTTAAATTATTATTTTGCATTTCTTCGGATATATTCCTAGTAGTGGAATCACTGAGCAAAAGACAGACCCATTTTTAATCTTTAGCGGTATCTCCATACTGCTTTCTCCAGTTGCTGCACCAGTCTACATTCCCACCAACAGTGCAAAAGTGTTCCCCTTTCTCTACATCCTCACCAACACTTGTTGATTATTGATTTATTGATGATAGCCATTCTGACAAGTATAAGATGTTATCTCGCCCTGGCTGGTGTAGCTCAGTGGATTGAGCATGGGCTGCGAACCAAAGGGTCGAGGTTTGATTCTCAGTCAGAGCACATGCCTGGGTTGCAGGCCAGTTCCCAGCAGGGGACACACAAGTATCAACCATACATTGATATTTCTCTCCCTTTCTCCTTCCCTTCCCCTCCAAAGATAAACAAATGAATAAAATCTTTTAAAAAAGATGTTATCTCATTTTGATTTCAATATGCATTTTTGTGATGATTAGTGACATTGAACATCTTTTCATATGTCTATTGGCCATCAGTATGTCTTCTTTGGAGAAGTGTCTATTCAGGTCCTTGGCCCATTTTTTAATTGGCTTGTTTGTTTTTTTGGTGTTGAGTTTTGTAAGTTCTTTATGAATCTTGGACATTAATTCCTTATCAGATATATCAGCAAATATGTTCTCCCATTCTCCCAACACCATTTATTGAATATACTACCTTTAACCCATTTTATGTGCTTGCTTCCTCTGTTGAATATTAATTGACTATAAAGGTGTGGGTTTATTTTGGAGCTCTCTATTCTGTTCCATTAATCTATGTGTCTGTTTTTATGCCATTACCATACTGTTTTGATTACTGTGGCCTTATAGTACACTTTGATATTAGGTAGCATGATTCCTCCAACTTTGTAATTCTTTATCAGGATCACTGTTACTATGGGGGCCTTTTGTGGTTCCATACAAATTTTTGAAATATATGTTCTAGTTCTGTGAAATATGTCATTAGAATCTTGATAGGAATTGCATTGAATCTATAGACTGCTTTGAGTAATATGGACATTTTATTGGTGTTAATTCTTCCCATCCATGAACATGGTATGTGCTTCAATTGATTTGTGTCTTCTTCAATTCTTTCTTCAGTGTGTGATAATTTTCCATGTTCAGGTCTTTTACATCCTTGGTTCAGTTTATTCTCTGTGAAGTAATTGTGAAAGGGAAATTTTTAATTTTCCTTACTGTTAAGTTGTTATTGGCAAATAAAAATGCAACTGATTTCTGAAAATTAATTTTGTATCTTGCTACATTTTTGTATTCATTTATCAGTTTTAGTAGTTTTTTGGTGGAATATTTGGGGTTCTCAATGTAAAGTATCATGTCATCTGCAAATAAAGATAGTTTTATTCCTTTCTTTCCAATTTGAATATCTTTTATTTCTTCTTCTTGACTGATTGCTGTGGCTTGGACTTCAGGTACTATGTTGAATAAGAGAGGTGAAAGTAGACATCCCTGTCTTGTTTCCAATCTCTAGGAGGATGCTTGTAGATTTTTCCCATTGAGTATGGTGCTGGCAGTGGGTTTTTCATACATGGCTTTTATTATTTTTACGTATGTTCCTTCTATTTCCACTTTGCTCAGAGTTTTGATTATAAATAGGTGCTGGATTTTATCAAATGCTGTTTCTGCATGTATTGAAATGATCATGTGGTTTCTTTGCTTCATTTTGTTTATGTAGTAAAATACCTTTATTGATCTGTGCATGTTGTACAACCTTGCATTCCCAGAATAAATCCCACTTGGTCATGGTGTATGATCTTTTTGATGTAATTCTGTATTTGGGTTGCTAATATTTTGTTGAGGATTTTAGTGTTTATGTTCATCAGGGATATTGCCCTATCATTTTTTTCTTCGTAGTGTCTTTATCTGGTTTTGGAATTAAGATAATGCTGGCCTCATATAATAAGTTTGGGAACCTTCCCTTGTCTTGAATTTTTTGAAGTTTGAGAAGGAGAGGTGTTAGTTTTTCTCAAAATGTTTGGTAAAATTCACCTGCAAAGCCATCTGGTCCAGGGCTTTTGTTTGTTGAGAGTTGTTTGATTACTGCCTCAATTTCAGTAGGT